CCTGAATGCAAGGATTCCCGTTTCCACAAGTCCACATCCTTCACTGTGAATCACTTCTTATTTGACTAATCCCTTCAGCTGGAATTACATCTTTTCATCCGTCACATCATACACTCTTATGTCGTAAAGATGAGATCACTGCCTAGATTGTAAAAGAGATTTTATCTTGCTCGGCTAACTACCCCTGAAAGTGTGCCTGTATTGGAACCTTCTTTATAGAAAGGGCTTTTGAACTTTAGACAGTGAGAAGGAGCCATGGCACAAGCTCTTCTGCAGAGGCCATGTTAAAACCATTATATCCTGCAGTCGTTATAGTCATTAAGCCTTCAGGGCAGCAAAAGTTCTCTGCAGCTAGAGAGCATCAAAGTTCTCTGGAACATCTGAGTAAGGGTTGATAATTGTTCATCTTTAATGTCAGGTAGGCATGTAAACAACATGTGACACAGTGTTCCCATCCTAAGCCACAGTATGCTGAAATCAGCAGCTACACTGGAGGATTTCAGTCACTCTCAACACTGCTCTGTAAATGCACTCTCACATTATCTGTACTTTTCTTGGAATTCTTATTTTAAATTATAGTTAATTATTTCAATGATTTGAGCTTTAGAGTACCTCTATAACTTAGAGTTAAGGAGACTGAAAAATAACCCCAGCAAACTTGTGTAATGCATTAATTTCACTTTTAAGATTCAGTACTGTTAAAGCATGATTGGCATTCATTCGTTGTAGTTCTAAAAACGTTGTGAAGATTTCTGGCTTTCAAACTTCCCTTTTATACGAATTTAATTGAAAGTCTTGAGATAGCCAACCTTCTGGGTGATTAACTTGTAGAAGTCTGACCTGTGACATTCTTGGTGATCAGTTACTGTTTACTCACCTGCTGTAATGTGTACAGGAACCTCTGGAACTCTACCAGGCTTGGAGCCATATGGACTTGGCACGGGGCTTGGGCTTGGTGAGCCAAACCAGGAGACAGGTTAGTGGGTGAGGCGGAGACTCACACCCATGCTCACAAAGTTCATAACAGGGCAAAGGTACAATGTGTGTCGAGGTAGCAGCAGGTCCAAAGACTTGAAGCCAACAAACCAGTAGGGAACAGATGTGAGTTAACTTGGGGCCAGGTGGATGTTCTAGTAGCCAGCAGGTAAGTGTCCACAGGTCGTACACAAAGACAAAAGTGGCAACACAGAGAGAGTCAGGGAAACAAGTTAAAGCCAAACAGCAGAGAGGCAGGGGCAACACATTGAAGAGCTGAACAATCTTGCATTAAAGGAGAATAACAATCTGGCAATTCACTATTTGCTTGATAACACATATCAGGCAGCTGCTTGCACAGGTGAGCTGAGTTGGCTGATGAGGTGGGAGTGGCCAGCAGGCTGTTAGAAGCAGAGTTGAGAGTAGTGGAAAATTACTGAGAAGAGGCAAGTGAGCAGATGAGCAGAATGTGACTCCTGCCAGTGACTGGTGAGAAAAATACATTTCAAGCCAATAATGACTTTTCACTAGCCAAAGAATATACCACATTTTTAGTTTTAACTACACTGCAGTTATTTAAGGTGGTCTATTAAACCAAATATGACAAAATCAATGTCCTGATGTAAAATAAAAGCTCACTATGATATGTTATGGGTGTAGTTTGTAATTCATCATGATTTATTATTTTTGACTGTAGGATCTCCATCATGTGAAGCTTTCAGATGTCTGGAGAATTCAACACCACTTCTGACCTTTGAAACAAACTGTGTCCCAGTATGAATACATGCATCTATACAGTACTATATGCAATGCACATTAAACACTTTACGCACTGACAGTCAAACATAAACCTAGTATGCGAAGGTCATACACAATCTAAAAAGACTAAAGAGAAAACATCTTTCTCCACAGATATGCTGTCAGTTAACAGCATGGTGGTTCCACAGCGGAAATAACCCAATTCTTGTAATGTGTCGCAAGAAAAAGAAAATATTGCATTTATTCAGAAGGGTGTGCTACAGGTGACAAAAGGAAATCATTCAACAATGCATGAAATAAGATGATTAGCATATTCTTTGATCAAAGTGTGAAACTGATCAATATGAATAACAACACTTTTGTGCAGAAGGAGGTTTGAGGATTTCAAAGGCTGGATGTTCTTCTGTGGAAAAAAAAAACTTAAAGCTTGAACAGCATGATCGCAGGTAGCTCAGTGACCACAATGAAACAGAATACAAATGAGAGACGATACATTTATCAAGAAATTTGATTTTCAATGATGATAACATTTCATTAACATAATGAAAGATAATGGCTTTTACCTTTGCTGCTTTTTGGGCAATTTGATTAGCAGCACCAAATTAAAATACATGACTGTATTAGTTTCTATTTTAGGCGTTGTGTTGATCAGCTCATGATGGTCTTATTATTTTAAAAAACAGAAGAGAGAGCGATTGATGCTAGGGTGATTATAAAATACTGCTCATAAGCAAAAGAGAACGATAACATGGTGGAGACATTGTTGTGCTGGTGATGAAGAATAGTGAGTCAAAGAGGGTGGTTAAGAAGAGGGCTGTCCAAATGAGCTGAATTAATACTTAATTTTAGCATCTTGAGCAGAAAATAAGCTACTTCTGTGTTCTTCGGGCTCACCTTAGCTGTAGCTGGTAGGCAGCTGCTAACTGGCAGGCGTTGTCAGCTGTTGTTACCATAGTAACGTAAGATTAATCTGGTTATCCATGGGTCAACTGAAGTAAATAGGTTTTTACCAGGAGACTTTTTCAGGTGAATTGGGTTTTGGTTATGTTATGGTTTTGTTTGTTAAATACACCCCGTGTACATTTATTAACACATTTTACTTCTATACCCTGCATAAGTAAATCTTTTTTTCCGTGGGGTGCCGGTGCATGGCTAGTGGTTTGTCCGACCCATCCCAGGTTCAAAACCAACCCGTGGCTCCTTTGCCGTATGTCATTCCCCAATCTTTCTCCCTGATTTCTGACTTCATCCACTGCCTTGTCTCTCAAATAAAGGCATACCCCCCCACCCAAAAAAAATAGTAGTTCTACTTCAAAAAGTGCCTTTGGCTAAAAATGTCAAGCTCAAGACTTTCTAACATGGTTAGAACCACTGGATGCTGTGACAGTATCTCTTTCTGCACTCCCACGGCTTATTAAGTCAGTGTTTCCAAAACCTCTTCAATGAACAGAAAGAGTATAATGTTATAATGACCAGTAAGTCACAAAAATATGACGCTAAGGAAATTGATTTTCAGTTTCTGATGAGCATGACAGCACTGACAACTCAATAAGAGGCACAGAGGTTGGTGCAGAACGTCACTGCAGGAGATTGCATGTTAACAGAGCTGCCTACACTTTGTGTTGACGAGAAAATGATAGATTTCATCTGGTTTACACAGAGCCTTTAATTTAAGCTTTGAGTAATGACTTGGCGTATGCCCTCTCTCTCCTATCATCTGAGTTCTGTTGTGTATATACTGGCCACTGATCTTAGGTGCTCGGTTTGGGTCACAGCATCAATCTCATAACCTGAGTCTGCTATGACAGTCAAGCTGAGTGTATCATCACAGGCTGTCCAGTTCAGTGAGCTCCGCCCGTATGCGTGTGTGTATTTAATTGCGCAGAAGACCACATGGTTTAAGTTTCAGCTCCATAAGGGGCTGAGGCAGGCCCTGGAACAGACAAAATACACTAGTCCAGTTTCAGCTCTGTTTCATCAGGCAGCAGGAGTCTAGCCTCGGGAAAAGTGTGAGTGATGCAATGAGTTCTCATGACAGGTGGGGTTGGGTACTTAGAAATAACACTACTTAGAAACTTTGTTGACATGCATTCCTTCTAATATGTGAAAAAGTTCAAAAGAGTGCTGACAAATACATTTTAAGAGGAAAAGTTTAGATTTCACGACTTGAACTTTCTGCTGTTTGATCAAAAGTTCACTGGGGTAAAACAAGTGAGTCCTTTTGATGTTTCTGTTACATCATGCTTTCATTCGAGAGCTCCCATTTAGTTTTAAACATAGATGACAATATGAAAACATTCTAGTAATACTAAACCGTGGCTTCAGACATAGACATTTCTCTACTTTGCTTTTGCTAATCAAGCTGTTCTTAAGAGTTATACAACCTGGGGAATAGGCTAATTAGTCAGAATGGCGAAAGAGACTGAAATTTCCAAAGCAGGAAAACAAAGACAAGTAAAGCCAGGGACAACAATAGAGATGTTATGATTTAAGAATGGGAAAATGATATGCATACAGGAAAAAGATAAATATCTGAAATTAAACCTGGAGTTTGGTGTGGTCAGTGTTACATGATGAATGACTTCTGAGCTACAAAACATAATGTGAATGAGATCTTTTGGCAGAGTGGATGAATAGGCGGTTAAACACAAAAGCAGGACTGAGAGAGGTCTGGCTTCATGTAGGTGTGGCGTTAAAAGAAAGTAATAACTGACTAAGGTTAATCTGAGAATTGAATGCAAGAGAAAGCTTCAGAAGTGTGTGGCTGCTTTCAGAGGTCTCTGAAAAGCCATTACTTCACATAACTATGGTATTGGGATTGTGTAACATCATATATGATTATTATCAGATTTCAAATAACACTTAATGGCTATCATTAAACCAAATCTTTGTTCATTTGAGATATGTTTTCCTGGGATTGGGCAATTCTGGGAGTGAACCAGGCTTTTTGAGGCCTCTGAGAAAACAGGGATGTCTGAGTTCATATAAGGTTACAGAGTAGTGCTCGTGACTTAATGTCTAAGTCAACAACACATCAGCGTTCAGAGGAGACTAATTTATAAACCCTCTGAGCAAAACACTGCTCATGTTTTTTTCTCCTTAGTGTCATTTCACTGCCCTCATGTTCGACTTCACCGTTTGTGAGTACTCTCAGAACGGATACAAAAACCATGCACAGCTAAATATCTTGATTTCACATTAAAACTATTATCATATGATTTATTTTCGTATAGTTCCACTGGGTGAGAAAGACAGATGTGACAATGTGTTCTCATAAGTACTTTAATCAGGCACTTTTTGCTCAAAAACATTTCTCTGAAGTGTAAAAGTGTGAACATTTGGAGGATTTTCTCTTTTATGGCACTGTTTTGTGCAGTTTTGACAAACATTAAATAAGTGGCAGCTAACACCAATCAATAGAAAACAATACAAACATCAAGTACCTTCATTTGATCAAATAGGTAGTGTTTCTATATATTTGGCCATGGTCAAAATAGCATACTTGTTAATAATTTAACAAGCCTCTCAGCTTCTCAGGTCAAACTATAATAAATAAAAATACTGTTTAATGTTAGCGATACCTTAGACAGTATTATTAAGCCAATAAGCAATATTATAATTTTTTTTAAAGAGATAGAAATCCACGTTCAGGTCATGTAAGGGCACTATGTAATTGTTAATGTAGACATTTCATTTTGTAAAGGCAACAAAAACACATTCATGGATGTATCTAAGACATAGGCATCTGTGTACAAGCATTTTGTGAATCATGGCTAAACATGTACATGACATGAATTTCTTTTAATTAACTTGGAAACATTCTGGTTGTGATTGAACATTCATAAATAAACACTTTCACTCTTTCAAAAGTAACATTTTATAGTAATCCACATAGTATTCTAGTAGTGCTATAGAACATATCAGGACAAATGTGGTTCAAATGACATTCATTACCATTTTTTTTTTTTACTCATATGCAATAAATCTGGACAAAAATGGAAATGGCTACTTTTCAGAGTCTGGGCAGTTCTGATTTAGAGCCTTAATGTTTCTTAAACATTTGACTAATGAGCATTAGATGAGGAGACAAATGGCACAAACTTGCTCACATTCTGTGGAATAATTACACCGCAGATAAAGCAAACAGTTTTACATTTATCACACAGCTATTTTCACAATGCAAAGTGAAAGCAGTAAGGCTCACAGTGAAAAGTTAAAGCCAGGACACCTGAAGGACACGATCACTGGATGTCAAATTCAGTCTTCACAGAAAATGCAGAGACCTATGTCGAGGACTTAAACAACTCAGCATTTCACATTCACGATTACCTTTTGATGTGAGATCAAACACAGGACTGTCGAAAATCTGATCACACAACACTCTATTCTGACTGATGTTTCATTTGTTCAAGCAAGGACATTTCCTCCTCTATTAATATTTACAATAATCCCAATTCAAAAAGCATTTATGAAGAACTTCATTTCAAACCACACGTTAAACATTACATGAGATTAAATCGATTTACAGTACAGTAAAACAAGTATACAGTACAATTAACAAATATACAAATAAAGAAATATATTCTGAGGTTAAGCAACCTTTGACACTTTAATGCCATTTCTTGTCAGAAACCACTAGAAGTATAAAAATATAGACAATGCTTTGTACAAAATATTGACATCATGTATGAATCTCCGTTTGAATGTGCAAATTAACACTGATCAACAGAAAAAAAAAGGAGTTTCTTAATCCTACACACACACACTCACGTTCACTCACACACATACACAAAATGCTTTGTTCATTTTAGCCAGTCATGTAGTTCATTTTTTCTTCAGTAAGCACCAGAGCTTCAGCTATTTGGACTTCTAAGTGTAACCTTGTTTACGTGTTCTCTTAAGTAAGACAAAGGAAAAGTGAACAGCATTGACTCCTTTCAGTCTGCAGCCTCTGTGGTCATACAGTAGAAAAAGTCTGAGACAGCAATGACTCAATTTGAAGTCACTCTCAAGAATTCTTTTCTGGAACTTAAATCCTGAGCTCCGCTTCCTCAATGTGTTCCAAATGGTGCTCAGTTGTGCTGATCATTGATGCAGAGGGGCCCTGTGAGACATTGAAGGGGGTGATAGCAGGAGACCGTGCTGCCAGTGGTGAGAGAGAGGGGGAGAAGCTTGGAGACATGGCGACTGAGGAGATGGATCCCTCAGCACTCAGGGGAGATCTTCGAAAAGAAGCCAAGCTAGGATAAGTCCTCCCCACTGCAGGCTTTGGAGGGACGGTTTTTGCCCCAGGGTGGGCCACAGAAGTTATAAGAGGCGGGGGGTCGATTCTTGACTCGGCCTTTGCTTTGTGATGAAATGACCTGCGAGGATGGGGGGGAGCGGTTTCATCTTTTAAACGTGCTATTTCAGTAAAAACATTTGCTAAGGGTTGAAACTGGGGACACCAGTTTAGTAGATAGTCCCAGTTATAGCTGCCCCTCAGCTCCTCATCACTGGCCACAATGGCTGTCAAGGAGCCGTCCACAGCAGGCTTCCCATCCTCTGGGAAAGTATAATCTTTAGGGTGGGAAATGCTGAGTCCCCGTCCCACACCCACATACCCAACCCCTTCATCCCTGTAGACCGGCACCTGGCCAGCTAATAATGTACTATTCACACTGCCTAGTTTTTTCCCTCTGAACCAATCTATGGATGGCTCACAGGAAACATCTGAAAGCTGATCTGCATCCTGCTGGATTCCAGAGTCAGGACCTCGGGCAGAAATGCGCTCCTGCATGGACGAGGAGATACTTGACACTCGAGGGTATTCATTTATCATTCTGATCTCATCATCTTCTGCTGCCTCAGCCTCCGCAGAGCCCCGCCCACTGGAGTGGGAGGGATCCAGTGATCCTCCCCGTGTGTACTGACCTCCACTGCTGCCGCTCTGATTGGCCACGTATCCAGGAAGGGCCTGATGATAAATCATTTCATTTGCTGCTATTTTCGTTTCTTCAAACTTGTGCAGCATGGTGCCTGATGCTGGTGTTCTTCCACAACCTTTTTGGTCCTTCGTCTTACGTCTTAATTTAACAAAAAACAGTGCCACAGCAATTATTATTAGTATGACTATAGTTCCAAGAGAAACTGCGATGACACTGATGAGCAGCATATTCATGTCTGTGGAGAGTCCAAAAGATGTGTGGGTCACATCTACGGAAACTTTGGCTACTGCTACACGGGATGTCTCTAAAGGACTCTGAGCAGTCACTTCCAGTGTCATCAGACGCAGCTCTCTTTTAGAGCGACTCGTGTGTCTGCTGTAGCTGTCCATTATTAAAGAAATTGCTCCTGTTGATTTATTGACTTCAAAATAAGGCGAACCGTCTGAGAGGGAATACAGGACAATGCCGTCCACGCCTCCGTCTTCGTCTCTGGCTTGTACTTTCCCAATAATCTGACCTTTCTTTGCTCCCTCAGGCACTTCAAACGAGAACTCTGAGGAGGTGAAAACAGGATCATATTCATCCTCCCCTGTGACATAAATCTGTACTGTTACAGACGCAGAATAGTTTCCAGCATCCATGGCAACAGCCACAAAGCTGAAGGAGTTAACTTTCTCAAAGTCAAAGGTCGAGCGAGTCCGTACCTCCCCGGAAGTTTGGTTGATGATGAAGGCCTCTTTTCCCTCATTAGAGCTGTCTAACAGGTAATACTTTAACTGTCCAAAAACACCTCTGTCGTGGTCGATTGCATGCAACATGGTGACTAAGGCATTCTTGGGTTGGTTTTCCCTGATGCTCGCAGTTAAAAGTTTGAGGGGAAAGAAGGGCCTGTTATCGTTGATGTCCTTTATCTCGATAATGACTGGGGCCAAAGAGAAGTGCCCTTGACCATCAGTCGCCTGGACAACAATCGTATGGGACAACTGTCTCTCACTTTTCAGAGGTCTCTGCAGCCTTAAGGCTCCTGTCCACCGGTCCACCTGGAAAAGGTCCGTCTCATCTCCTGAGCTTATGGAATACTGGACCTCTCCATTAGGAGCAGAGTCTGGATCTGTGGCAGACAGAAGCAAAATCTCTGTCCCTGCTGCTGCACCTTCACTCAGCACCACACTGTACTCTGCTCGGCTAAAAGCAGGAGGGTTGTCATTGGCGTCTGTAACACTGATTAGGATAGGCACGCTGGAGCTACGCTGAGGGATTCCACGGTCTGATACAACAACAGTCAGGTTATAACTTGGCACTGCCTCAAAGTCCAGATGCTCCACCAGGATCAGGGTGCCGACCGTCTGGAAGCCCTGGCCCTCCAAGAAGCGCACACTGCTCTCAATCTGGAAGGCATTACCAGAGTTGCCACTTGCTATGGCAAAATCAAAGCCACAGTTGTCCCGTGACAAGTCTCCATCCACAGCTTCCAAGGTCAGAACAGTGGATCCAGGAAGCCCATCTTCACACACTGTGGCTCTGTACTCTGACTGGTGGAAGATGGGGGCATTGTCGTTGACATCAGACACCTGAACCTGGACGGTGGCTATAGATGAAAGGGGTGGAGTGCCCTGGTCATGCGCCTCAATAAGCACCAGGATGGAGGGGTTCTCAAAATCAAACTCTGTTTTTTGGTTGCTGAACAGAGTGCCTGCAAAGTAACAAAACAATATTGTCATAAAAATGAAATAATAATAAGGGGAACGATTGTTAAGGGTAAGGTTTTGCATCGGAGAATAGAAGATGGAATACCTTGAGGTCAAAAGAGTCTTCTTTTATAACATGCTTACTTTTAGATGCTATCTTAACCAAAACATCTGAGGCAAATAAAATTACATCTGCCTTTGCAATGACTTTAATGAACAAAATGATTAAATATTTTGCAATGCCTGTTGCAAATATGTCCAAACCCATAAAGTTCATCCAAGTAGAGCCATTTGGGGATAACATTTATATAAAGGGTAATAGAGTGGAGCTCTGGAAAACAGGTAAAAAGAAAACACATAAATGTGTACTCAGTAACCTCACCGTTGCTAGGGTCGATGTAGAAGACTCCCCTAGTTGATGACATTACTCTGTAGATAATCTTGCCGTTCTCCCCAAAGTCAGAGTCAGTGGCTGTTACTGTGACGACTGCACTGCCTGCTGGGAGGTGCTCTGATACAGTCACCTGATGAGAAACACAATATACATTACAGTGATTTCAACAAGTTAACAAACATGCTAATATTCTTAAAGATAGTGGGTGTGGAGTTGTGAAGACCAGTGTGGGAAGGTAGCAGTACCTGATACAAGTCTTGAGTAAAGATTGGAGCATTATCGTTCACATCATCCACCAGAATGGTGAGGTTCGCCTCGCTTTGATGTTT